TCCCAGCATTTCTGGGACAGTGAGATGTCTCCTGAATACTTACTTGGAGCCTTGAGATCAACATAGGCCTGTTACTGATCAATCCTGGAAGTGGACACAGTAAGAGCTAGGGGACATGCCAGGATTCCTCACAGTCAATCGTTCTGCCTAGGAGACCTTAGTCTTCTTGTCACTATCAACAAACTGGTCTGGAACCAGTAAATTGGTCTCTTCAGATTCTAAGCCAGCAATGAAAAGTTATAGCACCCACCATGGTGTTAAGCATTTCCTGGAGTCTCTCCTCTGATCTATAGAAGCCCTAAGCTTGTCATTTAGTTTTGTGTGTCCTTCTCCCCCATCACCATGCTCCCTGTTCCAATGCAGAAAGGGTTGCTGAGGCTTTCCAAAGCTGTGATTGAGGTCTCATGGAATTAACTCCCTGAACTCCTTAGAAGCAATGAACTTTCCAGCAGATCCTTAGAAGAAATAAGACAGGTGAAGAGATTTCTATGCATTTGTATTTCAACAAATTGAGCTCCATCTGTAGGGAGGGGACATGGCCTCTTCTGGTACCATGACTTCAGTGGCAAATGCTTCCCTACTTCACTCCCTCAAATGAGCTGGGAGGGCATGAAAGAGGAAGAGAAGGAATTGATCTTACCATTGGCTATCAGAAGATATTTGCTGACCATCTAGAAGCACGCAGAATGTTCTAATGGATGATGTGGAAGGTGCAAGAAACTCATCTTTTAAGTGAGATGAAAACATATCTTTGCAAGGTATTCAATCTAGTTAGAAAGATAGACATCTACATATAAAAGTACTTCCCAAAATTTCATTAACTGAAGACACCTCTCATTCTAAGTTGTACCATCATTAACCCTTAGAAACACACTGTCAGTTCAACTGACATCAGTTGTCAGTTGTAATGCATATCTCAATGTGAGAGATCCTAAAATGGGGGGAGGGATCAGTGTAAGAATTAACAAATATATGTGTAAGAGAGCCTGTGTTATATCACAAGTGGGTCAAACGGGATGCATGCAGGAACTCTGGTCGGGGATTTAAAGCAAATGGAGAAACAGGACTGAACCTGGGTTGAACACCCTTCAGCCAGGTTACTGAAACAGATGGAAGCATTGCGGCTAAAGCCACAAAGGCCCAGAGAGACGTGGCATTTTATGGTACAATGTATAGACCAGTTAAGAGTGCACTGCCGCCTGATACAGGAAGGTCATGAGCAAGGATGGGGCAGGGGTAGGGTCTGAAGGATTACACCTGCCACTCATACTTTGGTTCTGAAGAGAACCAGTTTTGTGGGAAATATACTCCACATCAGAGTTCTACCATGTTATCATTCACTCACCCAGCATTGCTGATTATCACTATATTCAAGGTACTTTAAGGAAGCAGGTGGGTTTCATACATTCTACCTACTAAAGGAAATTAGTTGTTTACTAAAATACTATGAAATAGGTATCATGCTTATCCTCATTTTAAAGATGAAGACACAGAGGTCCAGAGAGGACCAGCAACTTACACCGTTATCACACAGCTGTTAAACAGTACAGCTAGGATTCAAATCCAGGCATTTTGGCTCTAGAGGCCCCACTGACTGCTCAATACACTGCTTCTCTGCAGAGTGGAGAAACCTCAGTAGCAGTTCAGAAAAAGGAAGAACCCAGTGGCTGTACAGATCAAGAAAGGATGGCTAGGCTTTGATCTATGGCATAGATCAAAAGGTACCAACACAGGGAACAGTAAAAAGTTGCTTTGTTAAATAAATAATTTAAAATAAAAGGTTTTGTGTAAAGAGATTTGAATGCCACAGGCTTTGGACAACTGGACAAAGGGGCATCCTTGCTGGTTTCAGTCAAGGGTCGTATCTGTACACCAGGAAGATTCATTGGAACTCTGTCCATAAGATGAATTACAGCAGGAAGAAACCAGAATCCGAAAGCCCAAGTAGAAAGTTATTGCAATACACTGAACAAAAGGATTTTTTGACCCAAGATAATGCTACAGTTAAACTATGGTCTTTGCTTTTTATCAACCTCCAAAGGTTAATGATGCACACTTCCCCAAACTGCCTTTGAGTCTTTGATCTTAAGTCTTTGAACTTACTTAAACCTTATGTGTGTTAGTTCCAGCTTGGGTGGGTCGTGGCATCATTTGTCCTGTAACAATTGTAGTTTCACATGCGTGGCACAGATTGGGGGAGAGGATGGAAGAGGAGGAGAAGCACAGGACAGCGGGCCATGAGACCAGCAGCTCCCCTTTCAGATACTTTGGTGTGCTAGCTTTCCATATCTGTAGCAAACAGCTGAAATAATCAGCTTTTAAAGAGAAAAAGGTTTGTCTTGGCTCACAGTTTTGTAGGAACCAGTCCATGGCTGGTTGGTCATGGTGCTTTGGGCCTGTGGTGAGGGAGTACATCCTGGGAGGAGCACATGGCAAGAGTAAAACCACTTCCCTTGTGGCTAGGAAACAGAGCATGGAGAGGCAGAATCCTCCTCAAGGGCACACACCCAGTTACCTCTCACTAGACCCACCTCTAGAAGGTTCCACCATTTCCCAAGAATGCTTCCTTGAAGACCAAGCCTTCAACACATGGGCCTTTAAAAGACACTCAAGAGCCAAACTGGGGCATTCGTCAAAAGAAACACACATTCCCCCTTACGGGAGTCTTTATCTCTTCTACCTTTTGAACCTGTTTTCTTCTTTAATCTTCTTCCAACCTTATAAATCCTAAAGTGTTTGTGCATATGCAAGTATATGTGTTCACATGTGAATAGATGCAAATGAGTATGCAGGTGCTCCTGTCCATGTGTGTGGAGGCCAGAGATTGACATCAAGTGTCTTCTTCCACCACTCTTCACCTTATATATTGAGGAAAGATCTTCTACTTGAACCCACTTGGCCCATTTTGGCCAGTCTAGCTAGCCAGATTGCTCTGGGAATCACCTATCTCTACCTCCCAAGCACTGGGATCACAGGTAGGTTGCCACACCCACCATACCCCTGACATTTTACATAGGTGCTGGGGATCCAAACCCCAGTTCTCATGCTTGCACAGCAAGGAATTTACCCATTGAACTATCTTTTCAGCCCCAATAAGTCCTGGGTTTTCCTAATAGAGCCACCTACCAAGATGTAGGGCTAGAAGATGCATATGATCATGTAGACTGACCACTGCTACCCTGGGAACACTGATGCTCTGAAAAGGAAGAGGCTCTGTCTTGGGCCACATGGGCAGCAGGTGGTGGGACATGCCATTGATGTGAGCTCTCCTGACCTAGCCTGTCTCCAGCTCTGCCTCAGATGGGGACCCTGGAATGGCTGTGACTAAAGCAGCTGGTTGCATTTCCAAGATGATGCCCATCATTCACAGGCCATTTTAGCCATTAGAGCCTAACAAGGCACTGCATGCCCTCTCCATATCTCCTGGGTGCTTTACCAAGAGTCATCTATAAATGCTTGATGAGCAGTCTTTGTTGACTGTTCAATTCTAAGCCATCCAATGTGGAATTGTGAGACAAGGCTTAGACTCAGGTCAGGTATGATTTATAATGCCCAAATGCCTGTTGACAGTGTCCATGGAATTTCCTTCATCACCTCAAGCCCACCGTATTTCCTAGAATCCACACTGGCTTCCACGTTTCCCAGTTCATCCCAGGAACCTGCTCTGCCATCTTTATTCTTTGTCTCTGACCATAGCGACAAGCCACCAAGGGCCGTTTTGCTTTTGCTTCCTAATACCTGTTCCTACTCTCCTTCCTATTCCTGTTGGCAGCCTTCTCAGCATTCCATGTTGGGCTGTGAAGAGACAGTTAGAAACGTGCATGTAAATGGGCAAAATTAAAGACACATACCTCCCCTAATTCAATTTGAAATCTTTGTATCTACAGCATCACAAGATTTCTTCGTAAATGTTAGCTTGAGCTCACAGTTTGGCTTTATCCATTTGTAGCTGTACAAACCTAGCTGTGAACATCCAGCTGTGGCCCTCCACATCTGCATGGCACAGCTCCTTGCTCAGCTCTCCAGCTATGGGAGTCATTGTGGAAGGCGGCTTCTAGGCAGAACAGATTCAGCTGAGCTGCTCACATCCTGAACTGGCCTGGATTCCACCAGGCAGAGGATTTGCACTCTGAGCTGAAATTCCCAGACCATTACTATATATAAGGCAGGGGCTAAAAAAATTTCAGGGACTACTTAAAAAAAAATGTAAGACCCCTGGGGTGGGAGAAATGGCTTGGGCAGTAAAGTACCTGCCATGAAAGAATGAAGACCTCAGTTTGGATCTCCAACATCCTTATAAAAAGAAGTCAGATTCTGGGGCATGGGTCCATAACCTCAGCTATGGGGGCATGGAGGCAGGCAGATCCCTAGAGCTCATTGGCCAGCCTGCCTAGCAAATTGGTGAGTTCCAGGTTCATTGTGAAAAACTGTCTCAACTTTATGGCGCAGCCATAAACGTGGGGCACCCACTCTTATGTAAATAAACCACTACCCTATGCTCTACTAAAATTAAAAATTAAAAAAAAAAAGAACTCTCAAAAGCAGTAAGGTAGAAAATGGTCAAGGAAGACACCTGATATTACCTCTGTCTTCCACACAAATGTGTACACACACACACTCATGTGAATATGTTCATACACTGCATTTAACACACACTCAAAAAGTCAGTTAAAATGGAAGAAAGAAAGCTAGCAATATTTGGGAACAAAGAAACTCCAGATCAAGACAATAAATTTATTTGCTTGTAAATGAACTCATCTACTCTCAGGTACTATGTTAGATTCTGGATAAAGGGATACACTGTAGTTTCTGATGTGAGGTCCCTGATCAGAAAGGAAGATGGGGAGCAAGAAGAGACCTGACCAGACCAGGTTCCAGGTAGAATATGAAAGGGAGGGAAGCAGGAGACCCTGGGCTTGGGAAGCTGTTTGCATTTGGGTGTGGGAGGTTGTGGCAGCTGAGTTCAGCCATGCTGTCTAATCTGATCTCTCCTCCTACAGCTTATGCTCAACTGCAGTCACATCAGCTCCTCCCACAGCCATCATCGAAGCACCTGCAGCCCCAGTTTGTGATCCAGCAGCAGCCACAGCCACAGCAGTCACAGCCACCACGGCCTGTACCCCAAGTCCATTCCCATCCCCAGCTTGCCTCAGTCCCCCCAAGCCTGGCCCTACAACCCAGCTCAGAAGCCCATGCCATGCCACTAGGCCCAGTTACACCTACCCTGCCACTCCAGTGTCCCACTGCCCATCTTCATAAGCCAGGTAGCAGTCAGCAATGCCACCCTCCCACACCAGATGCTGGGTCTCAGAATGGACATCCTGAGGGCATGTCCCATACCCCTCAGCGAAGGTTCCAGCACACTTCAGCTGTCATCTTACAACTGCAGCCTGCTTCTCCAGTGGTAAGTAAGCTAGTCAGGGAACAGTGGGGAGCCACAGCTCAGAAAGTCCTGTAGTCCTGACTTGGATGGTGTTCTGGGTGGGCTAAATGTTGAAGTTGTCTCTGGGTATTCCCAGAAAGAAGGGAAGGCTTTCCCTAACTGAGGATGACTGAATCTTTATGTCTTTGCCTGCTGTCCGAGCTCCACGGAAACCAGAATAGTATCCAAGAATGCAGAGCTGGTTCAGGAGACTGATCTCTCTGTCCTGCCCCTTGACAGCCCCAGCAGTGTGCTCCTGATGACTGGAAGGAAGTGGTGCCCGGGGAGAAGAGCGCACCCGAGACTCGGCCAGGCCCATCCCCACACCAGCAAGCCATTGTCACTGTCATGCCTGGTAGCCTGCCTGTACCCAAGAGCCCCAACATCCAGCAGTGCCCAGCTCACGGTATGAGGTGTAACAGTGCCCTTGGGGGAGGGGAGGAAGTTGGCTTTCCCTGCCACCTCCTGGCATGTTTCTTTTGGGCATTTGGAAGGGGATAACAAATTACTATAAGCCCAACAAGGCAACCCAGAAGCTGAGTAGCCAGAAATAGAGGAGGGAAGTGAGGAAAATGGACCAGGGACAAAGACAGGGAACCTGGAAGATGTAAGAACAAGAGGATGAAAGAGGAAAGGAGAGTTAGACTCTGAGGCTGGTGTGCCATTGATTGTAGACGCATATGTGTATATGCGGAGTTCTTGAGATTGGAATTGTGGCCAGAGGACAGCCATATCTCCAACAGAAGGGAACTAACTATCCCTGGAAGAGCTGGAAGGACACTCAGAATTAGCTCAGCTTGCAGAAAGCAGCTTTGAGGGAACTGTGCTCAGCTCTAAGGTCTCCATCTGTCTATCTGAGTAACAAGGGGACTTCTTCATGAGCTGGGCTTCGGGACACTCTGCTGGATCACTCCAGCCTGGCAGGAGATTCACAGCAGTACCTCCACCCTCTGCAGTGATCCGTTTGTTTGCGTTCCTCTCTGCCAGTCTGAACAGGGATCTCGGCCTAGATCTCAGAGCCATTTGGAGTGAAGGGCTGCTGACAGCTAGGGAGGCAGCTCCAGTCATAATGCTAAGTGTGTGCTGAGAACGGGTGGGAGAGGCAAAAGAGAAAGGGCTTGGGAATTGAAGGGAAAACACTTTGGGACAGAGTAGTGGAGTCTACAGAAGGTAATAGGGTCTCATAAGGAGAAGGGGGTAAGGTCAGGAAGGAGGAAAGCAAAGAATGTGGAGAACAGACACTAGAACAGTGAAAAGATGGGAAGGAGATCATCCATTACCCTTTTTCACACTTGCGAAGATAAGAGGCTCCTGAAAGGCAGCCCAGGGGCTGGGGTGTGGCTCTGGTAGAGTACTTCCCTAGCATGTGTGAGACCCTGGCCCAGCCTTGAAAAGAAGGGGAGGTAGGAGCAAGGAAAACAGCCCATTCCATTGTAGGATTTACTCTATCAGAAAATTGCTCTTCCAAATAAGACTAAACCTGCTTGTCTGGAACTTGGCCATCCCTGGCTATGATCCTGTCTTATGAATTCTAAGGGTCCATCTCACAGTGTTTGTAGAAATTTGTCATGTCTCTAGGAGAGAGAGGAAGAGGGAGAGGGGCCTTTTCTAAATATTTCTTTCTTTTCCCCTATGATATGTCAAGACCCCTATTCCCATCTTCTACTCATGCTTGTCTACCTAATTCTAAAACTTCATTGATTCTCTTAAACTGTAACACCCCAAATTAAACACGTAGATTTCAAATATAAAAAGCTGCTAGTCTCTATAAGGATTGAACAGGGTTAAGAGGAAGGATTGTTTACTAAATCCATATGGGATGGTAGGAAAGAACTAAAATTGACTGAGTATCTAATATGTAATGGGTATTTTTCTAAGTTGTTCACTCACTCATGATACCCCTGAAAGATAAGCATTATTATTCTCTACCCAGTGCGGGGGTGGGGGGGCAAAAGCCAGGAAGGAGCAGCTCTAGGACATATGGCTGTGAGAGGGCAACACCCTGCTTCTAGACCCACATTTCACAGTTCTCTCACCTCCTTTATCAGACCACACATTTGGGGCCACACCTTCATTCCTCCAACCAATGGAAATAATGTTGTTGGATCAGAATGCTGTGCCAACTGGATTTTAGGAAAATGGGGTTCATTTTTGGTTTTGCTTTCAAGGTTTCTTTTTACATGAATGGCTACCTTGCTAGGTCGCCTCAGTCCTCAGCTCATACAGTTGATATTTTGAAACAAAATGCAATTATATCTGTTTATTGTTCTCTATGAACTTACCTCCAGTCTAATGAGAGATTAATAATAGTTAATACAGCTATACTTCTTGAACTCTGTAGTCTTAACGTAGATTTCCTGCTTATACCTCTCTGAGGTAGGAACTCTTCTTATCCCCATTTTAAAGATGAGAAAACTAAGGTGCAAGTAAGTGGCACAGCAGGAATCTCTTACATCTGAATTTTGTTCATTATGCCAACTTCTCTGCTCAGTCTAGCCGCTTGTAAGTTACATGGTATGTGTTCTTTGTCCACAGTGTTTCTAGAACACTCTGGTAATGAACACTCTTGGTTCAAGTGCTGCTATCCAACAACCCCTAAATCAACTGACATTTGCCTTCCTTTCTCTGCCTTGTTCATAACGCTCTCAAAAATCTCTGAATTCTAAGCAAGGTGATAAACACAAAACAAGCCTTCTGCTCTTGAGGTCCCATCTCATGAAGGAATTAATCTTAATGGAGTAGAGGCAATTGCCAGCCACCCAAGACCTAAACATCTGTGCATTCTGTAAATGTCTGGATGCCCGCTTGTGACAAATCACTGTAGGTTGGGAGGTAATACCCAGAAAAATAAGATGTGCCCCCTACCTTCAAGGAGCTTGCAGTTTGCCGGGAAAGATGAAACTTTTAGGAAATGACAGTGAAAGCTCCAATTTGATAATCGATGGGAGGATCTTAGGTAAGTGCTTTCCCAGGTATAAGACGGAAATGTCACTGCAAGTGGAGATTATCAGGATAGATTTCAGGGCAGAGGTGGCTGTAAAGCAGGGTGGCTAACCACAGCCCTGGGGCCACGTCTATCACATTGCCAGTGCTTGTACAGCCCCAGAGCTAATAATGATGGTAACAATCAAAGCAAGACTATTTCATGATATGTGGCAATACTATGAGATTCAGATTTCAGTGTTCGTGGGGAAGGTCTGTTGGCAAGACCACCGGTATTCATGACCTCACTGAGGCAGCAACAGTAGGTTGAGTAGCTAGGACAGAGACCATATGGCCTGCAAAGCCTAAGCTACTTCCTCTCTGGCCCCTGTCAGAAGCTTGCCAACTGCTACACTCTTTAGACTCTGCAGGATGGGTAGGACTCAGGGCTTAGAAAGTGGGGACAGAGCATTCCCCAAGGACCAGTGCAAGTTGAGGTGGAGGGCAGGAAGTGTACTCAGGTTCGCTAGACAAGCAGAGTATTCAATCCCTTGTTAAAGCAAAATGTGAGTGTAATTAATACATGCAGACACAGAGGAAAAAGGTGAATGGGAGCACTAATGAAAAGAGAGATTTTGTAAAAGAGTTGAAAGAGGAAGGAGAAGGGGGGGGCACATCCAGGAAACAGAACACACGTAAAGTGAGGCTGAAGGAAGAAACTGGGAGGAAAGGAAAAGGCACAGGGCCAGATTACAGTCAGATATGCAAGAAAAGCGGGGGGGGGGGGGTCATCATGTCCCACAGCAGCTCCTGTGCTGAAGACTGTGCCGCGCACCTCCGTGTGCCCCCACGGCTCCGAGCAGGTTTGAAGGCACTTCGCCAGGGCAATTCAAGTTAAAACTGTTTGGGAACGAAAACTAACATTTATGGGGCCCCTACTGTGCACCAGGCACCGCAGGCAATTTGTAGATCAGTTAACCCTCACATTAAACCTGGCGGGTAGGGATTACGCCTTTTATGGAGGTAGGACTGGGTCCCTTTGGTCATTACTTCACCTCTGATCCTCGCTCCCAGTGGGGAGGATAATGACCACTTGGAGGGTGATTGGGAACAATAAGGAAGAGGGTGCGTACACTTAGCCTGACACGCACTAGCCCTCGATCATTAGAGGCTTGCCTCCGAGACCCCACCGACAGCAGCCAACGGGGCTGGGGTCAGCGGGGGTAGGACTGGGTCCCTTTGGTCATTACTTCACCTCTGATCCTCGCTCCCAGTGGGGAGGATAATGACCACTTGGAGGGTGATTGGGAACAATAAGGAAGAGGGTGCGTACACTTAGCCTGACACGCACTAGCCCTCGATCATTAGAGGCTTGCCTCCGAGACCCCACCGACAGCAGCCAACGGGGCTGGGGTCAGCGGGGCCCGGAGCGGGGCGGGCGAACGATGGCCTGCAGCGGCCTACCCTGGCCTC